TTTCTGATAAACACCACTCTATAAATATGTCTTTTGTTATATATTTTGTATTAACAGTTTAATAAAATAAAAAAAATTTCAAATTTATTTTCTTATGTTTAATTTTTATTGTTTGAAATTCATTTGGTTTAGCAAAATGAAATTTTATACATAATTATGAAACTTCTAGAAATTTCTGGTTTAACAAAAAAAGTGAGACAGGGCAGAAAATAAAAAATCCTTATTAATAAATTATTTTTTGCTATTGCATCATTTTAAAATTTAATTGTAAATTTTACTTACAGTTAAAGCATATTAGCTTGTAATATTAAATGTAAACTTTTAAAAAAAACTTGTGTTTGTTAATTCATTTATTTAACAATTTTAACAATATTTAACAACTGTAAAAATTTCATTTGCACTGAAAATAATAAAATGATGTTGAATAATAACCAGAACAATAGAAAAGACCACACAAATTATTTTAAGTAGTAGGAGTTGTTGTTGCACACAACCTTTCACTGACTAATTGATACAATCCTCTATTTTCTAGAAGATAGGATTCGAAAAACAAATTGTACAAAAAATAAAAAACCACTTGCCTTTCTCATTTTCTAAACATGAGGTAAAGGTTGTTGATGTATAGCCCTGGCCATTGACACATGATATTGAGTATTCTATCTCCTTCTGGGAATGACTCAATGTTTTATTTTTCATAAGCTCTGTAATAGGACTTGGAAAAAAAGCAATAATGCTTCCAAATATAGCTAAATTAATATCATCTACATTTTCTTGTAATATCTGCAGCCACAAAATAAACAAAGATAATGCTTGTTCTCTGATCTATGTAAAATTTAAAACTTGGAATGAAATTAAAAAACAAAAAACATAAAACAAAAGAACAAACATTTTTAAAAAGGAATATAAAATGAAGTTTATTGAGTCAAGTTAAAGAAACAAAAAGCACTAACTGGTTGAATGTTACCATGATGTAAAAGTTTGCGTAATATTAAACCTAAAAATAAAAGAGTTTTGCATTAAGATTAATCAATTAAAAAATTTATTAATTAAAAACTACATTTTTGCACTTTCTTAAAAAAAAATTATTTTTTGTATTTTAATAAAAAATATTTTTTGCATTTTATTAAAAATTACTTTTTTGGGTTTTATTTTTAAAATATTATATTAAAAATTATTTTTTGCATTTTATTAAAAATTACTTATTTTTTGTGTTTTAATAAAAAAATACTTTTTGCATTTTATTAAAAAAAAAAAAAAAAAAAATTTTAATTTTTTTTTTTTTAATAAAATGCAAAAAATTTTCATTCAAAATAAATAAAATTATAAAACTGAATAATTAAAATAGCAATAGATAAACTCCACCAAGTTCTTATTAAAAAAATAAAGTTTATTTTAAGCAATTCATTCATGAATCCAATCTAAAAATAAAATCTCAGCCCTCAATATTAGATAAAATAAGGCCAGTTTTAGGTCAGCAACAAATCAACACAAAATTTAGAAACAGGTTTCAACGTAAAATGTTGTGTTTTAAAAAAAAAACATACTTCTACTTTATAAGGAAATAAAAGAAAACATTAGTTTTGACAATTTTATTTTATTTATTTAGAATTAATAAAACATTCCTTTTTCTGTTTTTCTTCTAGTTTATTTGTTTACAATTTAACTAAAAGGTTCATTTATTTGACAAGTATTGAAGATATAACTATTTAGTATTATTAAATAGATATTACAAATATAACTTTTAGTTTGAAGTTTAAAGTTATTCAGTTATGTTTCCAAAATGCCCACTCAGAACTTTAATGAAAAGGTAAGTTTTGCATGTGCTTTTTTTATATAATATATATTATAATAAGCAGCAAAAATCTGACCTCATTCAAATGAGCAACAAGTTTTGGTTTTAATCAACATTAGTAAAATGTGGAAATGTGGAAATTTTCAAAGAGTAGAGTGAAGAAATCATTGGCTGATTTGGGAAGAACATGCAAAGGAGTGCTTCTACATTGATTGAAGGGTTTGAGTAGAGTAGGTGATATAGTTAGGGTTGAGTAGAGTAGGCGATATAGTTAGGGTAAGGAGAAATTAACTCTTAAAACACTGACGAACAAGAATGCTACCGCTATTTTGTAAACTTATCTGTGTCACAACAACATTAAAGTCTAAAACATAAAATACCAAATCATCTTACAATAGTTGGTCAAATGCTTAATAATCGCTTAATGAGCACTTGAGACAATTATTAACCATTCAAAAGAACCTGCAAATACGCATGTTTGGTTAAAAACTTGTTGCAGTTGGAAAATTCAAAAGTTATTGAAGAGTCAAAAATTATTTGGCAACCAAACTTTTAATGAACAATTGATTATATTCACCACTAAAATGCAAAAGTAAAATCATTAGCATCATCATCAAAACTCCAGTAGAAGAACAACTTATTTAAAGACATATTTAACATTCTGCACAAAACTGAATGGAAATTAAATTGCGTTGTACACTGTTTTAATGGTGAATTAGCGAAAACAAAGCTTACTGATCATTTTCACAAAGTTACTCAAAATGTGAATTTCAAATATCTTATTATCATTGTCTTAGCATTGCTGTTACTGATCATTGTAGTACAATCCATCAATCCTTTTGTTCAGCAGCTGTTCTCTTTGTATTAACTTTGAAGTATCAAAAAGTCAAGTACTTAAAAGCCTCATAAAAAAAGAAATCATCTTGTCTGTTAACGCCTAGTAAGAACAAACAAGTTTTTGTTTTTTTCATACAATGCTTATCTGTTTAATCAAAATCAAGACTGATGATTGTTATTTTTGTACCTTTCCACAATTAGCATGGATCCTTATAATGCCTACCTAGCTGTCCCAAGAATGCCACTTATATGGAAAGTTAGCATACACATCAAGGTACCCTGTGATGCAAATTTTGAAATCATTTAATTTTGTCCGCAGAGAATAATTTAATTTGAATGTTCAAATTAAGTCAAATTTTGACTTCATAGTGCGCCAATAAAAACACTTGTAGAATTTGATCCACTCAATTTAATTTAATAAAAATTGGTGCAAATGTAGCCAATAGTCACACCAAACTCTGGACAAAATTTCAGCCTGATTTGATGACGGCCTTTAAAGTGGAGGGGGGTCAACCCCTCAATTTCTAAAATAAAACCCATAATTTCTAAAATAATTGCCTATAATTTTATAACAAAAGGTCCTTGCTAAAAAAAAGTAGAGAAGGACATGACTCCCTAGCCTCCCTGGCATTGACGGTCATGTATGCTTCACTTGAATATGCCAACATTTCCTAAGGTATAAACTGCTGCCAAAAAAAAAAGTTAAAAAAAAGTGCAAAACTTGGTCAAAGGATTACCAGTTAGTAAAACAAACAAAAAAAGTTTATCTCCTAAAATATTTTGTATTGACCTCCTTAAATATATTTACTTTTAAAATGAAGTAAAAACAATTTAAACAATATTTTTTGCATTGTATTACCATCAAATATCTAATTTCATTTTAAGAAATATTTTTTTGATTTTCTCCACCAAAAGATTATTAATAAATAGCTCAATGTACTCTTTTAATACAAATACTCTATAATACTACTTTTAAAGATGGCGAAAATATTCATTATAAGCCATAAAATACGAATTTCAGCAGCCAAATTTCTTATAACGCAAATGATATTCTTTAAAGATGCCTACTGTTTAGATCAATTATGCAATGCAACAATCTCTCTTTGTACTCTGGATGATTATTATTTCGCTTATACCTTGACCAATGTTGATGATAATCTTGATGAGAAGTTTCGACAGTTTGTTCACTATAGGGGCCCCAAGGGGGATCCTTTGTGACTGATGAAATCCTTGGTGCAGTACTTAAATGAGTTTGAAGACCACAAATTACATTTGCAACTTTCATATCACAAGCCAAAATTAGTTTAACTCCATTTGCAATAATCAGTGACCAGATTTGTCTAATATTGTAGTGTGTTTCTGGCAAATCTTCTGAAACCCCAACAATAATTTTTCTCTTGACTCCAGTGTCTTTACCAGTCCTTTTAGTGAGAGGTTGTTGTTGGTGCAGTGAGCTGGTTTCATCCCTTAACGCAGTATCAACAATGCTTGATACTGCGTTAAGGGATGAAACTTGAGAAAACCTTTGCCACCATCAATTCCAAACTTAACAAAATAGCCACCCAGAAATTTTGCGGGACTGAATAACATGATTCACAAGACTTGATAAATCATTGCAGTGAGCAACAACATAAACTGTACAAGAATCTGTTTTTTTGTTTGTGATTTTTAAGTCGCTGCAGGTAAAGAAATGGCTCAATTGTTGACCTAGTCTTAGAAAATTAATGTAGAAATTTTGCTCTACCATCTTGCTCCATGATGTTTTGTTTACAGTTCTAACAAGTTTCTTTAATCCGTTGTTTGACAGGCCCATATTTAATTGCACATTTACAAGGGCTACAGTGGTCAATTTTGGAGCACTTGATGGAGTCTGCGCATTACTTTGGCCTAAAACCAAAACATACATATTTTATAGTTACAATAAACTTTGTTTAGTAAATTTGAGTAACTTTATAATTATTTGTTTTTGATTTCTAAGAAATTAGAAACTTGTCAAAAATATACTTCTTGAAATCTATCTAGTGTTATTTCTTAATAGTCAAGACTTTATTTCAATATAAATTTTAAAATTATTTAAGTATAAATATTTACCAGGGGTAACTGTAAGTGGAGGCCCGCCGGATGCTTTAGCCAGTAGAATAGTTTCTTCCGGAGATAATTCTTTATTGGAAATAACTCGAGATGTGATTTGTCAAATGATTTGGCATCTTTTGCTGCTAAAGATTGAATGTTTTCCCTTAACATTATTTGAGAGCATTGGTGGGGCAAACCTTTTCCTAAAAGGCTGAAGAATTTGTTGTAACGCACTTCATTAGTGGTTTGCTCTATAAGAGGATGTTTTTCTTGCAGCTTTGAACAACCAACTAGGCATATTTGGTAACAACACATCGTGCCTCTTGTTTCAGGTCTCACTTGTATTAACTTAATCAAACAAAGGAGGGGGTGCAACTTCTTTCCCCTCTTGTTTCCTGCGCAAAGTGATTCTACACGATTTGCAGAATTCTTTTGGTACCCAAGTATCACTGATATTAATCTTGGTCTTGTACAGTTGGAATATTATATAAAGTAGTAAGCTGTCAAACATTCTTTCAGACAGAGCAAGCACACAAACTTTCGATTTTCATCATGATTCTTTGCTTGATTTGGCATCGTGGCAATTCACTAAATTTTACTTCACTAAATCAAACTCTGCCTTTTACAAAATTCGGCCTAAATTTATATTTGATAACAATCCACTTAACATAGTAACACATATTATTCATTAAAAACTATTAAAATAAAGGAAATATTTACTTGATTTAATTGAGGTAATATTAAATTACAAGGAAATAATTCTTGAATAGTTCTTTCCTTACCAGGAAACAATTGTTTAAACTATTTACTTGTAAGGAAATTACATTATTGACAATTGTCACACTTATTAAACTAATGATACTTATTACACGGGTTGTTTTATTTCAAAACAATCCTTTAACTTAATTAGTTATTCAGTTGGAGTAATTTTCCTATGACTGGCCCTCCAAACTTTGTATTGGTCAGATATCTTAGTTAACTTATCTAAATATTTTTAAGTCAATTATCTTTGTCAATCAGGGCTCAAATTAAGCGTATCACAAATCGCAATTGCTTTTTACACCTTCGCAATTATTTTATTCTTAAAACATATATTTTCGCGATTGGTTTACTGTTTTAGTTGTTTATTTACTATTTTTCTAATTTAGCTTTTTTTTTCACGCAAAGCTTGTCTTTTGAATAGAAGCATGATCATTTGCTTTTGAATAGAAGCATGATCATTTGCTCTTTCGCGCGGAGATTGTTATTCAATGTAGAGCACTTTTTAATTTAAATTACTTTAAATCTCTGCTTAGTAGCAAATTAAAAAGACAAAAGTTAAACAGAATTTTTTCTTCATTCTATTTTTTTTTTAACAAAACAGCATTTTTATCTTTTTTTAAAAAAAAAACGTTGCTCCAAATTAACTAATTAATAATGATTTAAATTATTATTTTTTAAACAATTTTATACAATTATTTTTACTACTTTAAGTATAATAAAGTATATAAAAATTCGTTTTTATTAAAAAAAATTCTATTAGTAAAATTGTACTAATAGAAACCAGCAACTTTCTTGCTTTCAAGTTTTTCGCTTTTAACGACTTTGAAACTATTGAAGATATATTTAGTTAACTTTACTGAATGGATAGAGTATATCAGAGTAAACTAACTTATAACCTAAATTAAAACAACCAGTTAAGTTAAGATAGTAACTTAAGATAGTTACTCAAGTACTAATTTAACAATTATATTAATTTATTTAATATACTCGCAAAAGTTAGCCATAGACATGTTTCAATTTAGATCTTACATGTTGTTAAAACATAAAACATAGCTTTTAACTAATAATTACTTTAACAAAAATTGTTGAATAGAATATGAAAAACACGACACCATTTTTTTATTTTTTCATTTTATTTATTGCGACATCTAGACTAAACATTTTCTATAAATACGCAAGTTGCTTTCAGGAATTTTATTTAAAAAGAAATCTATTTGAACAAGAGAACTTTAGCCTTGAAATTCACTTATTCAAATAATTTTGTAATTGAAATTTGAAATTGAAAAAAAAATTTAAAAATTTAAAAAAAGTTTGATGAAACAAGGGAGAATGAAGATGAAAATTTTTTTTTTGTAAATTTTGTTAACGTTTCGAATTATATATTTTTTCTTAAAAATAGTTTTAAAAGTAGAAACATGCTATTGCAAACATCAAAGCTGTGATTGCAAATTGCAAGTTAAAATAAAAATTATAAAAATTTTAAATTAAATTTAATAAATTATTTCACTTCTGTTCGAAAAAATTTTTTTCTAAAAAAATAACTTAAGCATATTCTTACACCTTAATATAATTCGATTTATTAAACAAAATTTTTTGTTTCACTTTTTTTTGGAAAACAATTAGAATAAAAAAAAGTTGAATGAAAACAATAGTTTAAAAACCTTTTGAATGAGAAACTTAATTATACTTAAATTTTTAATAGTACGCTCGATCAGGAAACGATAATTTATAAAAGACGTGGTATCTAATGTTTTTTTGCTTTGATCTTACTCATTTGGTCTATAGATTACAAACTTGTATAGGTCTATAGGCGCAAATATGAAGTTTTGTTTTAGTTTATTAACTAGCTCAATTTTATTTGTTTGCTTCCTTTCATTTTAAACGCGTTTTATTTTATAAACTGTATAAATCAAAAAGAAACAGCGTCGCGAATTTGTTTTACATTATTCCAAGCTCTTTATATTTTTAAAACAACTTTGTAATTTGTTTTAATGTTGTTTTATAGCTTTAACAATTAAATACTTATTTAAATTAACACGTGTTTTAATGTCAGCATGAACGTATTAAATAGTTTTCTTTTACTAATTAAAGTAGTTTAGATATTGTAATGTTGCTTTTTCTCTTACTTTTTTACTTTTACTTTCTTAAGTATCATGTTAAGTAAAAATATACTTAAAGAAATATCTTATAGTATTAAAAATGTTATTGCTTATTACAACTGCAACTTAAACTTCAAGTTATAACTTAAGTTGTAAATAATAACAGTAACTTACGCTATTTTTAACTATGCCAAACAAGAAAATTATAAGATTATATTTAAATATGAGAGACAATATGTTGAAAATAGAACAATTACATACAAAACTTACAATTATTTTTACAAAACTTACAATTATTTTTAACTCCCCCTCCCCCTATACCTTGCGGCGCAAGGTATAGGGGGAGGGCGAGTTAAAAAATTTTTTTGCGATTAGATTTTTTTGCGTTAATTTGAGCCCTGCAAAAGTTTTTTTTTTTACTTTATACAAAATAGCATTGCAACCATATTTCTTCCCCAACCTCATCTATTTACTACATATGATTCCATGATGTCTGTGTTCCATCACTTTATATCAAATTTGTATAAACCATCCAAAAACCAATTTTTGAACACAACATTAATAAAAATATTTTTTTTTTAATTTCAAAGAAAAATAAAATAAATTTAAAAAAAAAAAAATCAAATGAGATCAAATAATCATAGCAACAGAGCTAAGTATGCTTGTTTCAGTTTATAAGTCAATTCAATCTTTGGCCTAAATATATGGGATCTAACACATAAATTTGAGATAATTGATAACTTAAAATCATGCAGCATAGAACATACAACATCAGACCAGCTGTTTCTAACAGTATATATATATATATATATATATATATATATATATATATATATATATATATATATATATATATATAATATATATATATATATATATATATATATATATATATATACATATATATATATATATATATATATATATATATATATATATATATATATATATATATATATATATATATATATATATATATATATATATATATATATATATATATATATATATATATATATATATATATATATATATATATATATATATATATATATATATATATATATATATATATATATATATATATATATATATATATATATATATATATATATATATATATATATATATATATATATATATTTATATATATATATATATATATATATATATATATATATATATATATATATATATATATATATATATATATATATATATATATATATATATATATATATATATATATATATATATATATATATATATATATATATATATATATATATATATATATATATATATATATATATATATATATATATATATATATATATATATATATATATATATATATATATATATATATATATATATATATATATATATATATATATATATATATATATATATATATATATATATATATATATATATATATATATATATATACATGAGGCTTTTTGTAAATTATGTTGCGCTAAAATTTAACATTTAAGTAGACGTAGAAGAAAATCGTTATATATATTCGTAAGTCTAAGAAAAATAGAACAAAAAAAAAAAGAAATATTTACTCACCAATAGTATTAAAATGCCACTTTGAATGGATTTTATCTGGTAAATTTATAAAGATTTTCTAAAAATAAATGTTGTCATCATAAACAAAATAAAATTTAAATATCTAAGCAAATAAAAGGCTTTCATATAAATTATTTTACTATCAGCAATTTGTTGTTGCAATGAAGATTTAAGCTTTTTATATTAAAAAAAAGTTCAATAATTTTTTAAAAAACTCATTTTAATATAAGACTTAAAACATTTTTAATAAAATATTGACAATAGTTATTATATTGTATAAATTATATTATGTTAACAATCAGCTGATTAAAACTTGATCTAAATCTAAAAAACACTTAAAAACTTTAAATTTCATTTTTAATGAGCTTATTTCTAATTTGTTAATTATATTTCTTAGCCAATACCAAATAGTGTATACAAATTTGATATGCCCTGAAAATGTTTATTTTATTTTTTATGAAATCTAAAACAAAAGTAATTAAATTTTAAGATTCCTCGCATAGAGGGTTGTTTGCTTTGAAAAATGTAATGATTTATAACAATTTAGTTTTATTCAACAAACTTCAAAAAATCAAAACAACAATCAAAAAAAGGCCAGTCAGTTATTTCCTCAAACATCTTATGTATCTGGCCAATGCAAGGCATTGCTAGATAGACAAGATTTGATACTTATTTATATTTTTTCTTATTATATTTGATATTAAAACATTAGCAAATAGGAGTTAAAAAATATAGTGGCTCCTGGTCAGATACTACTTGATTTAGTTATCAAATTGATTTTTAAACTTACTATACATTTCAGAATATAAATCTTCTTTAAGCCATTCCAGTTATTAACAATGCGATTTGTGAAAAATAAAAAAACTGGTTGCAACTATTTAACTATATTTAATACTGAGAAAATTACACTTCTCAAATTATCATTCACTAATGACCTCTCATGAACCCATACAAAATTGATAAATATATCATCAATTAATAAGGGACAAGTACAAGACATTCTCTTTCACAAACTTCGTTTAAAAGACTAAATAATGTTGAAATTTAAGATATAACAATTTAATTCAAACATTTTAATATCATTCCAAATATTATTTTCATAATTTTGAGTTATAAAAACATGTTTCTTTAAATTACCTCTAAAAGCGTAAGCAAATCTTCAAGTTCATCTTTTAACTTTGCTCCTTTATATTAAACATAAAATTGATGTTAGATTAATAAAATATGAAAGTTTAAAAAAAAAGTTCATACAGATTATTAATTTGCTTTTTTATTTTAAAATGTACTATGTAATTTAAAATGTACTAATAATTTAATAAAATGTAGTATGTAACCTCTATATTTAGCATTTAGTTCTACATTAGTAAACTCCTCATAAAATACAAAAAATAGCTCTGATGAATATGTCTCAAAAAACTCTTTTTCTTCGTTTTCAATAAAAAGATCTAAAATAAAAATCTAATGATTCAAATATTTTTTTCAAATATATTATTTTAAAATATATAACAATCTGGTACTGCAAAGCCAAACAAAACAAAAAAACTTTAAATATTATTGAAAAGAACCTTAAAACATTATTTTAATAAACAAGATGTGGTAATGGAATAGTTATTGAGCACTCGGCTCTAAAGTGAGAAGTTCCAAGTTCAATCCCCACTATATCCCTGGCGGAAATCTGAAAAAGTGCAAATTTCATAAGTGCAAACTGACATAAGTGGGAATCAGGTAAGTACAAACTGAGCACTCGGCTCTTAAGTGAGAAACTCCAAGTTCAATCCCCACTATATTCCTTGCAGAAGTCTGAAAAAGTGTGAACTGACCTAAGTGGGAATGGGGTTAGTAAAACCTGGTGCCACTTACATAAATGTGAAGCACTTGCAAAAAGTGGCATAAGTGAGAACAAAAATAAGTGCACCAAAAGAATTGGCAAACATTGGTATAAGTGTGAACTGGCATAAGTGCGAACTGTCATAAGTGAAATAAAATGTCAAAAGTGCAAACTGGCATAAGTGCGAACTGTCATAAGTGAAATAAAATGTTAAAAGTGCGAACTGGCATAAGTGCGAACTGTCATAAGTGCGCCAAAAGAATTTGACCGAACTGGCATAAGTGAGAATTGGCATAAATGTAAAATGTCGATTTGCATATATGTTAACAGTTGCAATTTTATTTGGCGCACCTATGCCAATTCACACTTATGCCAGTTCACATATATGTCAGTATTTGCAACTGCTTCGCACTTATGCAAATTAGTACTTATACCAATATTTTCAAATTTATTAGGCCTATATATATCCTGGTAGTAGTAATTTAAAAAATGAGTAAACTTCTTTTCTGTATATATATATATATATATACATATATATATATATATATATATATATATATATATATATATATATATATATATATATATATATATATACATACATATATACATATATACACATACATATACATATATAAACATATATATACATATATATACATACAGTATCAGACAAAACAAGCTGTATTTCGTTATCAATATTTTGTGGCGAATCCTTTGTTGTCGATCACAGCCTTGCATCTTCAAAGTTGTGGAATCCAGGCCTTTTGGATTTGTTCAAACAGTTGATTCTTATTACAAACACCTTCACAATTAATTCTGCGGTTGACGATCTCCCACAGGTTCTCGATAGGGTTGAGATCCGGAGATTGAGGCAGCCAATCCATCTTGAAACCACTGCTTGACTATTTTTTGGTTGTCTTGAAACCACTGCTTGACTACTTTTGCAGTGTGTTTCAGATCGTTGTCTTGCTGAAAAATCTATTTTATTGGCATATTCCATTCAGCATGAGGTAACATAACATCTTTCAGGATATTTTTATACATGAAACGGTCCATTATTTCGTTGATTCAATGTATTGGACCTTGATAGTTAGCAGAAAAACACCCCCAGACCATTACATTGCCTCCACCATGCTTCACGGTCTTATGGCAGTAACATAACGAGGTGTTTTCCGGCCAGTTGATGTACACGGCAAATGCCATCGCTCCCAATGATGTTGAACTTCGATTCATCACTGAACAGGACAGTTCGCCATTTCTGCACATTACAGTCAATATGAGATGTAGCAAACAGGAGTCTTTTCTTCTGGTTCTTTAATGAAATCAGCGGTTTCTTTGCAGGGCGTCAACAAAACAATCCGGCTTCAACAACACGTCGTCTGATTGTTCGGTCAGATACAAGCAGCTCTAATTGCTTTTGTATTTCGACTGATGATATCCAGGGATCTTTCTTGACGGATCTAATGATCATAGAATCCTCTCTAGAAGTGATGGAACGCAGTTTTCCACCTTTGTTATCTGCTGCTAACTTCCCCATAGAACGATATTTGGAAAATAGTCTTGACTGATGATATCCAGGGATCTTTCTTGACGGATCTGATGATCAGAGAATCCTCTCTAGAAGTGATGGAACGCGGTTTTCCACCTTTGTTATCTGCTGTCAACTTCCCCGTAGAATGATATTTGGAACATAGTCTTGATAGGGTCCATTTTTTCACACGATATTTATCACAAATACTTTTTTGTGACATTCCACTTACGTAATCGCCAATAATTTTTTATCTTAGTTCCAATCCAAGACTGTCATGAGCCATTTTTGCACTTGAAGTCATAAAAATACTTCTTGATGTTTCTGGATGCTTCCAGATACTTCTTCTGGAAACTTCTGGAAGCTTCTGCATGCTTCTGGAAACTTCTGAAAATTCTGGATACTTCCTTTAATTATTAAAAAACTTTCTTGACATTGACATGGACCAGACTTAAGAAAATGTAATAAACCAAAAAATTGCACTTGTTTTGTTCGCTGCAAAATGGCACTTGTCAAGGAATTTCTGCCTGTGTGCTGTGACCTGTTAGCTGATTGCTCGTGTCATGGCATGCTATGACTCCAGACTCTTGAACTGTTTGCTGTGGTAGTATAGTTTGTTTAGTTTTTTAAGACATGTAAAATTAGGAACACTTTTTAGCATTGTTCGATGTTGGTTGCAAATGTTTTGTCCAATACTGAATATATATATATATATATATATATATATATATATATATATATATATATATATATATATATATATATATATATATATATATATATATATATATAACACTGTGTTTCATCAATGAAGTCTTATCAGAAAATTTTCTGAAGAGTCTTTATTGATGAAACACAGTGTTAAATGAAAAAAATTTCTGCTAAGTAATTTTCTACTACTTTATAATTGCTCTGTTCTTTTTAGAACATTGTTGTTATTTAAGCCCTTAATTTTACTTGCGGTTTATTTTATCAGTATTTCATCTGTATTTTAGTGTATAAAAAAAATCAATTTAAATCTAAAATTAACCTTTTACTTTTCCTTGTGAAGCCACTGCGAAATGTACCCACAAGCAATATTTTAATAGAATAATAATGAAATAAAAACTACAAATAATCAAAAATTTTGGTTAATAAACCAAAGATGATGGCTTGCTTGAACAGCAACTATAGAGTTATGGAATAGAAAAAGAGTAATCTTACAACTATGAGACAAATAATTAAGCATGACAGCTAGAGCAGGTATAACTACATAAGATTAAAATCCATTTTTAGACCCTGTCTAAAGGAGAAACTTTCAACATGTCAAGAACTATAGCTCTTGACATGTTGTAAACCAGAATTTGCGTTGAGTATCAAAGATCAAAGTCCATATTGATTCATGAAGTGTAAATTGCTAAATTTATAATGAAATTTGTTAATATAACACTAATTACAACAAAGAAATTTCTAATAATAACAAGGAGATTGATAGGGCAATAGTTAGAAGGATTGATGCAATCTCTAAAAATAGAATCCTTCAAATATACTATTGATAATTTTAGCATTATATTTTAGCATCATTTTTAAGAACATTAAGTATAATAATTTTGAACACTTTTTATGGTGTTTTTCTGATTACTTACAAATTATATCTACCTGTTTTGTTGCTATTAGTATGTATGTCAAGAAAACTTGGTCTTTTAACAATATCATTTTGTTAGTCACAGTTTGCTTGTTTTTTTATGATGCTGCAAAAAAACATTCAGCAACTACTACCATAAGTTATAAGCCAATAAGCCCAGAGTCCTTAAGCTTACATATAATGTATAGCTCAAAATATTTGAGCTCATTAAATTTAAAACTAAAACTAGAATAAACTAAGTACTTTTGCTTTCTGTCAATTGTGGAAAGTTGAATTTAAAATTACTTAAAATATAACAACAACTTTTATAAAAACCCTCAAACTTTTTTAAAATAAACAGTAGCAATTATAAACTTATATTAAGCTAGGGTTTTTCTCATCTTTTTATATTCATTCATATTTTTATTTTATCATAGCAGATAAATACATAATATATTTGACTAAGTTAAATTGTATATAATTTTACTCTATTTATTAACAATGTGAGACTATTTCCATCCACACTGAGAAGAAGAGAATTTAGAGAACCGAAACTGTGCTTTAAAAGTCATAAAAGATTTAAACACACAACAACCCTAGTTGAACAACTTTGCATTAATAAAAAAAGGGGAAAGAAAGTGTTTTTGAATTGTAATTTTTAATCAATTCTATATATCTGATGAAAAAGATATATTCTAATTTTAAAATTTATTATTATATAATAAGAAAATTATAATTAAAAGTACAAACCCTTACCAAGAAGATTTTTTAGAGACTTCAATCTAGCATGAGTATCTCTTTTCAAATCTAAAAACTTAGCTGTATTCTTATTCCTGTCTTGTCCTGATTTTTTTCCAGGATGACCCATTTTTATTTATTTTCAATATATGAGACTTATAAATAGTATAATAGTATTTACGAATTATATGTTATTTTTAATTAATTTCAGAAAATATCAATATCCATTGTATTGCAGTTGTTTAGACCACAAAGCAATACTTGTAACGACCATTTTAAAAGTCAACTACCGTTGCGCCAAACTGTAACTAAAGAATATGGCAGAATTTTTGACTCCAAATTTTAATATTTTTAACATGTCTGATTTTGATTTTTTAAAACAATATTTCAAAATAGTGTCCACGATCAAAATTTTAATGCGAAACTCAAACAAAACTTATCTATAATGTATGGGCCCTCTACTTGAGACGGAAAATTCCCTAAAGATTAAGAAAAACTTTTTAGACTCAAACTTCCATTTTATGAGACCTCTGCAATCATTGATTTATCAAGAACTGGTTTGAACGAACCTTAATTGTCTAATTTAGCTGAGTTATTTCTCCCAACCTGAATAAAATTAATTAAGCCGTTCTTTCCCCGAAAAATGCCTGTGAAAAAATGCTATTTTAATAAGCTTAAAAACGGAGTAAAATATTTTAAATAGCACTGGGTGCTAAAAGTTACAACCCGGACAGGATACTTACATATTTGTTTGATCTTTAGTACATTATGTTATCTAAGATTGAGAAACTTTGAACAACTCTAAAATTAAATACAATAACTAAAACTAAAAGTTGTTTTTTCTATGACACATCTATGACAGTTGATGATAACAACGAACTAGTTATTAAATAATAGAAGCTAGTGAATATATATATATATATATATATATATATATATATATATATATATATATATATATATATATATATATAGGGCAGTGGAGTCGGAGTATATATATATATTTATATATATATATATATATATATATATATATATATATATATATATATATATATATATATATATATATATATATATATATATATATATATAGGGCAGTGGAGTCGGAGTATATATATATATATATATATATATATATATATATATATATATATATATATATATATATATATATATAGGGCAGTGGGTCGGAGTATATATATATATATATATATATATATATATATATATATATATATATATATATATATATATATATATATATATATATATATAGGGTAGTGGAGTCGGAGTCGCGACATTTTTAGTGGAGTCGGATAGGTTAAACAAAATCGCGACTCCGATTCCAATAGGAAAACTTCTCAGTATTGCACGCACATGTATTGAAGATCGAAAAATATTTAACCTTCAAAGGATTTTTCATATATTTGGCAAAAGAAAAAAAATTAATTATCCCGTAATATTTTTCAAGAATTTTGCTTTGGAGTCATTGTTATATCAGAATATCAATAATGAACTAGTAAGAGTTTCTGATTGGTTTGAGACAAATAAACTGTCTCTTAATATTAATAAAACGAAATAGATTTTTTTCCATCCAAATCACAAAAAAAAAATTTATATATATATATATATATATATATATCTTTTATTTAAATTCAGTGGTCTAAAAATTTAGAAATTACAGAATTTTTTACATTCATAGTTACACACATTCATACATATATATGCAAACTTATTTTGGTAGTTGCTTTGATAAACTAGGGTACAAGTTATGTTTCATCTCTTATAAGACGCAATATTCTTTGTGTAAAACTATTTTTGTAAGCGGTATTTGCAGTAGCTATCATGAACCCGAAGTTGATATTTTGTCTTGTTGTTATTTTGGACTTATTTTTTGTCTTTATGCTTAGCGGATGATTTGGGTTTCGTAGAATACGCATTAGGATTTTTAACATATATTGTCAATGTATGTGTCGGTGTTTTCAATGTTATATTTTGTTCTGACGATTTCTGGACTAATACCTATAGATTTTAGCGTTTTTAGATGTATTTGCTGTATTTCGTGCTTTTACGAAATGGCACCGTTTTTTATTGATAACATACTTCTAAAAAAAGTAGCAGTTACCAATTTTCTTGGTATTTATATTGATGAAAATTTGTCATGGAAAAGTCACATAAAAATTTAAGTAGTAAAATATCAAAAAGCATTGGAATTTTATACAAAGCAAGGAGTTTTTTAAATAAACATACATTACTTAAACTTTATTATTCGCTCATTCATTGTCACATAAACTATCCGAATATTGCGTTGGGTAGTACTAATAAAAGTAAACTGGAACCTCTTTATCGTCAATAAAAACATGTTGTACGCCTTATTAATTTTAAGGATCAATTTACTCATGCCTCTATTTATTGAAATAAAAGTTTTAAATATATATGAGCATAATATTTTTAACGTTATATACTTTATGTTTAAATGTAAAAACAATATTTCTCCTGTACCTTTTCATAATTAGTATAACAAAAAAAAAAAAACTAAATACTTTTTACGAAATGATAACAACATTCGTCAATCAGCTTATGAAACTAATTCTGGAAAATACTGTATTTCATTTCGAGGAGCATTACTTTTGAATAAAATAGTTTTAAAGAATTTTGACTTTTCTCAAGAGGTTAGTTATCCTTCTTTCAAACAAAAACTTAAAAAAGTAATTTTTTATTAGATGATATCTACATTCTTTTAATTCTTTTTTTTTAATTTTATATTAAACACTGCATTAATAAAATTTATAATTTAAAAATTTGTAAATAATTGTTAAACACTTTTGTTAAAGATATCTTAAAACTCTATAACGCATCTACGCATTTATAACTGAACCTTTTCTCTTTTTTTTTTATGTTTATGTTTTCAACTCATAATTCTTATTTATTTGATATCTTCAAGTATATTAAGTATATAAAGTTTATTTAATTATTTTGAGAATATTTTATTAATACGAGATGTTAAAACGTAAACTTTTTAGCGGTTCTCGACGACAAGACCTTACAGTCTTCTACAAGTTACCGCGTTCTTTTATTTCTAATATATATATATATATATATATATATATATATATATGTATATATATATATATATATATATATATATATATATATATATATATATATATATATATACACATATATATATATACATATATATATATATATGTATACATATATACATATATATATATATATACATATATATATATATATATATATATATATATATATATATATATATATATATATATATATATAAATTAGTATAGTTATATAGTATGTATGTATGTATATATATATATATATATATATATATATATATATTATATATATATATATATATATATATATATATATATATATATATATATATATATATATATATATATATATATATATATATATAAATTAGTATAGTTAAGATAATTGTTCTAAATAGAGTTGAAAAGCAACAAAATCGCGATGACAGTTGTAATACTTGCTTACAACTATCACGTTATTTTGTAAATAATTAAATAATCTAAGCAATAAAATTTAAAAATTATAGTTTAGTTTATTAAATAAAATGATATGGAAATACTTTAAAAAGTTTTGCAGACATTATTGAATGCGCGTATATGGGGTGGGGTTGTTAGGTGTAAATTGTTAGGAGTAATTGGCTTCTTTTTTTCTTGTTATTCAAAATGAGCATGATATGTGTTTGCTATTCTAAATTGTCTACTTTTTTAAAAACGACTCCCTCCCCCTAACAATTTACACGCTACAGGTCTGTATAATAATGTTTAGTAGTAACTAAAAAGTATCCTGAAGTCTATCCTCGTTATGTGTCCTTCCAATAAAGTCTTGGATCAGCTTTATGTGACGTTTTGCCCTATCGTTTACCATTGCAAGCTGATTTGCACAAGCAGAGAGCTTGACAAATGACTTAGGGGCTCTCTCACTTTTGCAAACAGCTATACCTTTCTCCCTCCACAGCAAAAGCTCTTTCTTTGTGATTTGTATGAGAAAAAAGAGAGGATAACTTTGCTCAGTGACAAAATCATCAAGAAATGACATTGGAACAACGACTGGCTGGATTCCAGGCTTCTCAAGCACCATATATTCTTTTTCTGGAACAGCAAAATACAGAAATTTGTTAAGGATGTATATCTTAGCGAATTAATATTAAATTTAAAATAAAAAAAAAGAATTAATATGGAATTAATCTGGAACAGCAAAATACAGAAATATTCTCTACTGTTTTTGAATCATTCGGATGATAGTTTTTTGTCATTTGCAGTACAAGAAGGTAAAGACAGTCACTCATAAACCTGGCCTCATAGTGAGCTCCCGGCAGCTTAAAGAAGAAATTAGGTATATCTGCACCCAGGAAGCCAGTAGCTGGCAAAGATACTTGTAGTCCTCTCTTTAGAAAGTGTTTCTCTGAAGTGCTGTTGTGTAAAATTCTTTAGTTTCAAGTACAAGTTGACTTTTTATAGCAGCGTAAAAGAGAAGTATGATATAAATTGTTTGTGGCAAGAAAAATTCAACCATGATTTCAATGTGTTGATTGCTGATACTGTTTTTAAGTGAGTTTTATATGAAGTAAGTTTTTCAAGAGTTGTTTTTCCTAATCTAGTTAATATTCATAATTAGGTATTTTTAATTTTTCTTTTTTTTTTATCTTAAATAATATGATATTAACTTAACTATTAAGTAAAATAATCACCAAATATATCAACAATAAATAACTAAATAAAAAGTTAAATGAAAAAAACAAAACAGCAAACACCTCTATGTTTTACTGAAATAAAACATAGAGATGTTTGTTGGGACTTTTTGTTCCAACAAAAACAAGCTCCTTGATACTTTTTATTTATTTTTATCTATTTTCTTTGCCGTTTAATAAAATTACAATAAAAAATACAATAAAAAAGATCTTACACGCAAAATAAATGTCCAGAGCAAGAAGAAGACATATATTGTCTTATCGCCGAGCCCCGTTTACATTGTCGCCTTCAGTTTATGTTACAAGTTAAAATTAAAAGTTAAAAATTTACAGGTTGAAGATTATATAGTAAAACACAATATATTACAATTAGTAAATTGTATAATATATATATATATATATATATATATATATATATATATATATATATATATATATATATATATATATATATATATATATATATATATATATATACATATATATATATATATATATATATATATATATATATATATATATATATATATATATATATATATA